AAGTCTTATTCCTAGGGCTCAAGCTATGGTGTAGTAGGCTAAGCTCCCACCTGCAGCATCGGCCCTGGTTCTAGTCCTGGCTGCACCACTTCTGACCCAGCTCCCTGCTAATGCATCTGGGAAAGCAGCGGAAGATGGCCCAAATGCTTGGGCCCCTGCACCCATGTGGGAGGCCCAGAAGAAGCTCCCGGCTCCTGGCTTTGGATCAGCCAAGCTCTGTCCATTGTAGCCATTTGGTAAGTGAACCAGCAGAAGGAAAACCTTTCTTTCTGTCTATCTCTCACTCTCTCTGTAACTCTATTTCTCAAATAAATAAAAACATCTAAAAAACTATAAAATTAAAAAACCTAAAAAAGAAAAAAAGAAATCTTATTCCCCTGAGGTTCTAATATTGTAAGGAAGCTCAAGCTAACCATTTGGAAAGACTAGTACAGGATGAGACAGAGATGAACACCTCCCAGTTTTTTAGTTCCTTGCCATTCTGTCATCCTAGCTGAGGTTGCAATACTGTGCAGAAAAGCAAACCATCTGCAGCACTTTGCTCAGTATCTTGTCCCGGAGAATGAAGCAAACTACTATTACCATAAAATGTTTTATGCAGTGAATTATTTTAATAGTTCCTATGCAATGATTGATAACCACAATTTTCCCCTATATTCCAATAACCTATTTAAGTCCTTGAGCAGTTACCAGAGTATGTGATTAACATTGCAAAACTTACTCATTTGCTTATTTAATGCCAATTTGTTTATAGAGTGAAAAATCTATAATGGCCATGGCAATCTATGACAGATGTTCAGCATTATTATAAAGCCTGCCAGCACAAGTGCATATTTGCTTAAGGAAGGAAGATAGACAGGTGATCTGATTGGTAGTAACACAGCTTCTTTTTAGTAACCCAACATTTCATCATACTTCTACACAACTGACATTCAGGTTGATGTAAAAGAGATTAGGAAGACGTCTTTCACATTTTGTTTTTTTCTAAATTGCACGTATACAACTTGCATCTACAAATGTTATAAAGTCTTTTCTGACAATGACTCCAAAATTATCAAAAAGGAAAATTTTATCTTATGGTTATAAATTAAACAGTTCTCACAGAATCTTCATTATTTTCTTACTTGTTCAAACAAATTTTCCAAGAATCATAAAGCAAAATCACAATCTCAGAGGAAGAAAAGCATTGCTATGAGCTATGTGTTATCTACTAAACTGATTTTAGGGGCCGGCATTGTGGGGTACTGGGGAAAGCCACAGCCTATGATGTCGGCATCCCACAGAGTACCAGCTTGTGTCCCAGATGCTCTGCTTCCACTCCAGCTCTCTGCTAATGGCCCAGGTGTTTGCGTCCCTCCCATCCACAGGGATGGCCCTGTTGAAGGTCTTGACTCCTGGCTTTTATCTGGCCCAGTGCTGGTTGTTGCAACCATCTGAGGAGTGAAACCAGTAGATGGAGAATCTCTGTCGCTCTTTTTCTCTGAGTGTCAAAAAGGTGATGAATATAATTCTGACATAAGCTAAATATCTTAATCATTTTAAAGTTAAAATAAAAAGTAATGAGCAAAAGTTAAAAGGTCTTAAAATAGATAGAAACCTAATCGGAGTGCCATTTTCTTTTTCCTCCTCCAGACACATAATGAGACTTTTTAGTTGACTCTGGCCATATGACTAAGATATAGCAAATGAAGTATAAACAGAAGTGATGTGGCTTTTCCGAACCCTCCAAATGCCCCTCCCCCCCACATCCCAAGGTTTTCTTTCCTGCAGTGGCTTAATATCACCTCTCCCATATGAAACAACCCAGTTTTGGAGTTGAGATTGACCAGAATTAGACTATATATAATAGAACTAAGCAAGGAAAATTGTATTTGGCTAAGCCACTAGGAATACATGGTTTGAATGATGGACCAGCTTGCAGTAATTATCATGAATCATATTGTTAATATAACTTTTAAGATTTAATTGAAGGGGCTGGTGTTGTGGCATAATGGGTTAATCACCAGTTGCAACGCCTGCATCTCATATGGGTGCCAGTCCAGGTCCTGGTTGCTCTACTTCCAATCCAGCTAATTCCCTGCTAATGCACCTGAGAAAGCAGCAGAGGATGGCTCAAATCCTTGGTACCCTGCACCCCCATGGATAAAGCTGTAAAACTAAGCTTAGTTTTTGTATGGTTAAATACCTATATTTTAAAAATCTATCACACTTGAGTTACTTGGGAAGTTAAGATAGCTGTTATATTTCTATAAGTGAATTTTGCTGTTTAGTGAAATATTTGTATATGTTTACTGAATAGTAATGGCCATTATGAATTTTAAGTATGTGGATATCCTAACCAACACAGTATTTTTCCTTTCATAATTTCTGGGGAGATAAAGAAAAATATGGTTTGCCACTACAAATATATTGTCAATGACATTATAGAAATATGGGAAAAATTTCTTTATTATTACTATTTTCAGTTACAGGACTATCACATGAGGCATTCAAACTGTGTTTTTATTATCCTGTTGTGTATGGTGATAATATATAATTTCACAATGAATCCTTGTTTTAATAAAACAAACAAACAAAAAAAAAATTGTAATACTACCTATTTAATACATTGAGTTTTTTGTGATCAAAACTAATAGATAGAGTTCAAACTGTTTACAAAAACAAACATTCACCAGTGCATTGTGAACTTAAGGCTTAAGAAAAAGTCCAGGCAGTACTAGTATACACCCTCAAAGTGCATATGAGAAGCCAGCCATCGACCCATGTGCTTTACATTCTTCCAATGTTCTTAAAATGATTTTAACGGGTCAGTGATCATATTACTCATGTTTTAGAGATGAAAAGTGCCTGGCATTATGGCCCAGCAAGCTAAGTTGCTGCACATCATACCATCATCCTGTATGGGAGGGCAGAATATGAGAGTCCTTGCTGCTCTGCTTCTCCAGCTCCCTGTTGACACCCCTGGGAACACAAGGGAAGGCTGCCTAAGAATCTGGGCCTCTGTCACTTATGTGGGAAAGTTCCAGGCTCATGGCTTCAGCAAACTCCAGCCCTGGTCCTTGCAGATGCAGTCAGTCTCAGTCTCTGTCTGTCTCTCTGTCTCCCCCACACTCCATTTCTCTTTCTCCCTTTCCCTCACTGTCTGTTTTTGTGTGTGTCCCTTTCTGCGTCACTCTTCTTTTCATACAAATAAATCCTTTAAACAACAATAACAAAAGTATATAGATGAGTAAATGAGCCACAAGAAAGTTTCCTAACTTAGTTATAGCAACTGGTGAAGGCATAATTTAAACCTAAGCAATGTGGTCTCAGGTTCTTAAAGTAAATTAAACCATCATTCTCAATTTTTTCATCACAAATGAACTATTAGCTCCACCTCAAATGTCTTCAGTTTGACTGCCTCTATTTTGTCTCCCCATGGTGGACCAGAGGGCCTACCGTATAGTTAGTAGTTCTAAAATGATTCTTAATTGAATGAAAGCAAAGAAAGATGCCTTTAGATATCCGTTCTCTTTTAAATAGCATATTACTATCTGCAGAGCAGAAGCAAAACAAATCATTACAAATTTGGAAAACCAGGGCTGTGAGCTGTCATTCAAGGGCTGTGAAATCTTTTTTATTCCTATTTCAAGAGAATAAACTGGCATGTCTTCTGGAAAGTAGGTGAGCACCTGATGAAAAAAAAGTTAGGTTATTAAACACCCAGGTAGGACCTATATAGCTTGGTGATGACTTTCCCTATGGAAACTCACAAAGAGAAGGGACAATGGGAAGAGAGGTTCTGTAAATGTGCACATGGATCATGGTCAAAATCACACATCAGAATCCTTTCTTACCTAAAATTAAAGAAATCTGTAACTATTCATACTCATCCCAGAGATCACCCAGAACCAAAATGTGCCCTATTATCAGGTGAGGAATTCATAGTTCAGAAGAAAATCACCGAGGGACACCAAAGATTTTTTCTGCCTTTGATTACAATTCAATCTCTTTTTTTTTTTTTTCAGGCACTTTAACCCTAATTTTTGTTTTCATTATTTATTTAATTTCTCAGAAACACTATGTCATAAGACATCTGATGACTTTGTAAATGCAAAGGCCCAATGTTGTGGAACAGACAATCTAATGACATAGTGTTTAGTGTTCCCTAAAGCAGGAGACAGATGAAGAGAAACGGTGAACCGGCAACCTTAGCATAATTAAGACAAGCCTGAGTGCTTGCCATGGTGCCATTACATTAATCTCACATCAGTGGCACCTGGCTAAAATTTATGAGATATGTAAAAGGGGCCTTTTCAACTGACCTTGATAAGAGAGAGTTATTTATCACGTGAGAGAATAGTCAGCAAGCTACGGGGAATGAGGTATATTAGAAGTTAAGTTGGCAGGGAGATTTAAGGGCAGTGGGCTGCAATACACTTTGACTGAAAAGATCAAGAGAAGTATTTCCAGTACTATGGACCTTAAACATCCTTGATAAGTAAAACATAAATGCATAAATCATGTTAATAAGCGATAAGTATAAGAAGGGGCAATAGTAAATGCCAAGTTTTAAACTGATGCTAGGTCATGCATTTAATATTTTTAAATGTGCGTTTACTGAATTAATGTTTGGGTTCTTTGTGACCACAATGGATTCCAAGTGATTTCACCCTAAATAAATTAGCAAAATATATTCACTGTGATTTACTGGAAAGCACTGCCTTGCTTTATTCATCATGGCATTTCCAGGGCCTAGCATAGAGACCAGAATGTTGTGATCCCTAAAAATCACCAGATCTTTGTTGGCTGACAGATTTCTGTTCAAATTTCAGCTCATACCACAGAAAGCCTCATAGCCAAAAAGAGGAGACCACAGAAAGGATTCCCTTATCAAAAAGACTTAGTTAAATGTTAAGCTATATAGCATTAAAATGGGTCCAAAAACTTATCAAAAGACTTAGCACTGTGTGGAACTGTCTTAGTTATTGCCTATGCTCCTGGTATGTGCTTTTTCTTACCAGACTAATTGGTCCATTGTATTGTCTTTACATGGTGACACAGACTCAATACACAGCATAGTGGGTACTTCATAAATATCTGCCAAATGAATATAACAGAAGGTATTTGTTAAATTGTATGGGTTAGAAACAGGGGTGTAATGGCTATGTTTTAGATTATATTCTAACACATATATAAATACTTTTTATCTGAAACTGAATTACAAAGCTGATAATGACAATTCTTCACAATAATCTTTCCTGATTTTATTGAAACATCTCTTTCATTCTTTTCCACAGTTGTCACAAATGTTATTAAATAAAACTTGATTATGTAGGCCATAAAGTTTTGCACTTCAAATGTTTCAGTAGGAATTATGAAGGAAACACACTAGTTTGATTTTTGTTGAAGTTCTGTTTGCTTTATTTCTATATAAAATGCACCATACAAAATGCTGGTAGATGCAATATGTTGAAACTGCCATAATATGTGACATTTTACTTCCGTTCATGGGCCAATGAGTCGGTACAGGGGTCCTTTATTTTATTTTTGTGTGATGGACAATTTGAAGATTTTCTTTTAATTTTATCAAACATGATTTAGTTTGTATTTCTACTAAAATGGCAATGGATGGATAAAATTCTCTTTAAACAATGAAAGCCTTATGGTCTATTCATTGAGGGGGAACAGCAGCACAGTTACAGAATTTCACAGAGAAAAACTACATCGGGTCAGCAGACCTGACTGTTTTTGGCTATGCCAGCATAAAAATGGCTTTCTGTATTTAAATTCTGCTTCTCTGCCACTGTACATTTGGTAACTCTTTGCCAAGAGGCAAGACTAGTTGAAATCAGCAAATCCCCAAAAAGATCATTCTAGCCATTCATTGTATCTTTAAACTACTTTATTAAAAGTGAGGTACATTGGGCTGATATTTTAGAACTAACGTAGAAAACCCACCTTTTCTTTTTTAAAAAAGCTCAAATTAATAAAATACATCAATATTTGCTGGAAAATGTTAACTTGTTACAATTCCTAGTAAAAATACATGATTTTTAAATCTCAATTAACATTAATACCATACAGAAAATTAATCTATAATAATATTTTGTTGGCTCTATTTTGCATCTGTGTCAGAGGAAAATTATAAAAGGATACTTCAGGAATCATAAAAGTTTTGTTTGGTTTCCTTTGAATGTACATTGCAGATTATATTAACTTCATACTTTTGGAGGAAATGATTTTAAAATTAAATATAACAAAATAATTAAATATTGATCATGTAATGTGACTTTGGACCCATTTTAATGCTACATAACTTAACATTTAACTGAATATTTTATAAATAATGATTGTAGGGTAGAAGAGAAATTAGAATTCATAGAATTTCTCTGTACTGAATAACTCCATTTGAACTCAATTTCTCTTGCTTTCTAGAACTTTTACAGAATGCAAAGATAGGTACATAAAATATTTTTTTCTGGACTTATCTCTGTCAGAATTCCACTGAAATATATTTATTTGAATCATTAGAATTCCATAATGGAAATATTAGACTTCATCCAAATATTAGAATGTTGCTGAATTCTATTTGTAATAGGAATGTTGGGAGTGAAGAGGGAGCCACAGTTTATGTTTCATAATTCCACAACTGAACAATTCTTATTTTATTAAAGAAAATCTACTCTACACTTATGATCAACAAAGCACTATGTTCTCATCATTATTCAAAGGCTAATGCCATAACTATCATATCTTACTTCTGCTCATCCTCATCTTATCAATTTTTCTAACTTTATCTTCAGATTAATTTTATGACTTTTACTTTTCTATTTAATCAAAACAACTGGGGATCAATATCCTCAAGAAAAACGCCAATGTAAGAGGCTTACTTTTCTTCCAAAAAGATGGTGAAACTTGATGACTTTCCTTGTTTGTGTTGAAATGAGACTTTTTAAAATTCAATTGGAACCTGAAGAATGTAGAGATTATTAATTTCTAGTCAGAGCTGTTAAATTAAGGGCATTACTGTGATCTAGAAAAGTCCTTACACAAAGCTTAATTGTCAGAGAGAATTGTGATTATATCCTAAAGTTTTAGAAAAGAATTATTTCTTCTGAAAGAACTCAATTCATTGCAAAGATAAAACATTTAGAAAAAAATTTGATCTCTTCAAACAGAAAACAATTTAAAGAATTAAAGAATTTTTCTCTAGTAAAAACTTGAAAATCTGCCTTATAACATGGAAAACTGTTTGAATCATAAAATAAGATACACAATCTAAATACGATGCCCAGAGACTAGGTAAACAAGAAAAGGGGTTACCTCATTTCCTGTTTTAACAACCAGCCATCCAGTTTCCTCTCACAAATACAGTTTTCCTGTATATAGGCAATTTTTGCTGGTAGAACATGTTCATTAATTTGTTCATATAGCAACCAACATATTTTTAAAGTCAAGACAAGAAAATCAATTCTTTCATTTATCTGTAAATGCCTTGGGTCAGGGCACCTGGGCTCCCACTGGAATGGTTAATTCACTATAAATGTCTGAGAGAAAAAAGCAAAAATCTTTAACACATGCTAGCAGGTTAATGAAAAATAAAGTGATTCATAGTTTTCCACACGTCAAGTATGTAAAATCAATAAACTACATCTTAAAATTTTATATATAAATTAGGCCAAAATTTGACCAATCACATATTAAAATTAACAATAGTTGGTCAAAAACATATCTTAAATATCTTCTATACATTTTTCCCAGAAGTTTAAGCAACACTTCTCACCTGAAAATAAAGATAGGTAACTCTATTCACCCTGAGGTGGATTCCAGAATAATGGAATCATTTGGTAAAAGGAAACGAGCCACAGTGTAAAATTTCATAAATTTCTGAATGCATTGGAAGTATCCTGAATCAAATTAAACTAAGGATGGACTGAATGAAGTCTTACCAACTTTTGCAACCAGGAGAGGTCCTACAAACACTCTTACGTAAAGCTTTGGTTTTAGGTATCAGAAACCAAGAATTAGAAAAAAATACATAGCTTTCTCATGATCAAAAAAATCAGAATTAGATAAGTGGATTTAACAACTTAGTTCTGCATTCTATTCATCATTATTTGACAGTGACACAACAAATTTATGGGGAGGAATGAATTTTTTTAAAAATCACATTCCTTTAGAAGTTATTTATTAAAACTGTTCTTCCCATACCCCTTAAGTTTTAATTATAGCTCTTTCTTTTCCTCGTTCTATCCCAGCTACTGCACTTCTGATTCAGCTTCCCACTATATGTTTGGGAAAGTAGTGAGTGATAGACAGCCCAAGTATTTGGGCCTCTGCCACCCATGTAGAAGACTGGCATGGACTTACTGAACCATGTTTTGGCCTGACTCAGACCTTACTATTGAAGCCATTTGGGGAGTTAAACAGTGGATGTGAGAGATTCTCTCTCTCTCTCTCTCTCTCTCTCTCTCTCTTTCTCCGTCCCTCTCTCCCTCCCTCCCTCCCTCTTTGTGTGTGTGTGTGTGTGTGTGTACACATGTGTGTTTCTTTCACTCTGCCTTTCATATAAATCTTTAAAAAAATTATAATTTTGAAAGTCATTTTCAAGTTTATCTTCTCCATATTCTAATTACTAGTTTCATTACTATAAGCTAACTGTCTTTCCCTAAAAGAGTCTGATAATTTTGCCTCTTTTCACATCATATAAAGCAGTATGTGAATTACTTTATTTGTAAAATATAATAGGGAAATGTTATACAGGAAAGAATATGTTAATTAATATGAGTGAGTCATGTAAAACTTTGCAAATTTATTATCAGACTTAAGGACTTCCTTCTAAATAGATGCAAGTCCAGTCAAATATAGGTATTTAGAAAAATGGAAGTCATTCATTCAAGTGTTAGTTCCTCTGGGAACATATTACACATCTTTTAAAACATTTATCTGTAACAGTCAGGTGTACAGATTTTGTTTCTATTATTTGCTCTAGTTTTCTGTGTTCCAGCCACCTGGGTCTACCTGGTTTCTTTCAGTTCTTTTGCTACCTTGTTTCCTCCTCACAAGGCAGCTATATAAAGAGCCAAAATCTATTGTTCCCAGAAAATTTCTACATTTAAAACCCCAAACTCTATATAGTTCATTACATAATATGTAGCTTAAAGTAATATATTATTTTACTATCATTTACCAAACAGTATTTTTCTATTCACTTAAATTTTGTACTTGTATTATTGCATAATAGAATTTTAGGCCTATTTACCTTTCAAAATAGAAACAAGGGTAATTTTTACTACTCTGTCTCAATGTGTTATAAAGTACTGCATTAAAATCAATTGTCTAATCCAACTGCAAAGCCTATGCCATTGAGCACAAAATGAATTTGTAAAAAAAAGTGCATTTTATTCTTTGAATGCAGGAATGTAAAATTATTTTAAAATCATTTGATATTATGTTCAATGTGCCATGAACATTTTTATCATTTAGAAGTTATATCTGAGAAATTGCCAAAACTCTCAGATTATCACAATGTTCTCTGATGGTCACTAAACAACCATGAAGTGGACTCTTCTACCATCTGGACTTTGTCACATAGCCTGATGCTGTCCATAGAAAAGATTAACCTGATAGGCACTGTAGGAATAATTTCTTTAATTCCCTCATTTTATAGGAAAGGGAACTAAAATCCAGAAAACCACCATGATTATAAACTAGGTTACAAAGTGACTTGATGACAAAGCTAGGACCAGAACCCAAGTTTCCTAGTTGTGAATAAAAATCAGGCTACTTTTAGCCTGTGAATTCTGGGAAGCACTTTCCTTTCCCAGTAATTCTCCTTATCAACACAACAATGTGCTGTAAGGTGAGTAACTCAGACATTATCGCCCTAATTTATTATGGGCATACACAAGTTCTGTTTGATTATGTGACCAGTATGAAAGTGACACAGTGACCTGAGTCTATCACCTGTATTTCAAAAACACTTCAAAGTAAATAAAGGTAGATGATGTATTAGTTATTCATTACAGACAAAAGTAATGGGATATACTTTATAACGCTCTGCAAGTTTTCCCAACTTGGCCAACTTCCTGAATCATTAGAGTCACTTGAGATGTTCTGGCTTTGCCCCAGACCCTCTGAATCACAATCTCCAGGGAAAGCGCCTGGGAATTTGTATTTTTAAGTGGCTCCCTCAGGTGATTTTGGTAATTAGCCAAGTTTAAGAACCCCTGACAATATCGCTGAAAGTAAGAGGATCCCATCTTACATGACTACAATGTTCAGAAACAAAAAAATGCACCAATTGTAAAATTAACTCAATCTAGTTTCTCTCTTTTACAGAGAAGAAAGATAGATGTCTTTGTCACAAGTGAGTAGACAAGCTGCCAAATACCACCTATATTTCTGGGTCAGAGACAGATTGGAATTCCACCAAGAGAAACTGGGCATTCATACTCAGTCTATTTCCATGGCAGGGACAAAACAATTCTAATCTCACTGATCTTTTCATTAAAGAATAAAGCAATCTCAGGGCATTAACTGCTGACAGTAATGCAGACCATGGATTTCACGGATTAACCAAACCACAAACAATCTAGAACATGTCCACAGAACAATTCTTTGTTTGTGTAGCACAGGAGAAAAAAAGGAAACAGTATGCCTTGAACTGTTGAGTTTAATTACTCAATACCATTTTCCACTTAAAAATCCATATGCCCATCAGCAGAGCAACAGTTTCTCATAAAGAACCTCTGTTATATCACATGTATACAATACTATGCCATTTTCAAAGACCTTTCACTTATATTAGCACTTTTTATCCTTAGAGTAGGCATGCGGATTAGGTAGGGATTCTCAACAAATTGAAAGGATTGTTCTAATTAAAGCATCTTCTTAGCTGAATACGGATATTCTAAAGTGTATCTGACTTGATTTTGGTTTCATGCAAAAGATTTGTATCATCCTTCATAATACATGAAAAAAATCAAAACCTAATATATTCATTATATTCTTATTTTAATGGAAAATGACTCATGCAGGACTGGTTTAAATGCTGAATTTAAGCTTAAAAAATAAAGTGAAGCAAGTAATCAGGCTACTACTTTGGATATCAAGCATGAAGATATTGATTTACTTTATCAAAATTGTTTCTTGTCCATATCAAAGTCCAGATCCTTTCCTCTATACAATAACTATGCTTAATGATAGTGACTATACTGAAATACTACAGTGAACATCTGAAAAACTGAAGTTTCCAAAATTTAATATGATGCTTATTAACATTCTAATTAAAAGTCAAACACAAAGATAATCTTTTTCATTATTATTGCTTATGCACACTTTCATCCTGTATCTTTCCTAAAGCCCCCAAATCTCTATATTTCAGAAAAAACTTCTTAGTGTTATTCTTTCTGTTAGAAGCATTTCAAAGATAAACTTTCAAAAAAAGGTTTTGGATATATTAAACATAGTTAGAAATATTACCCTGTGAAGAGAATCCTATTAAAGTGAATCATAACAAAGAAGCACTTAGACACACAATTTCTCAAAGTTTTTATTCAACTTAATTTTACCAACAGGTTCAGATAAGAATATAAGTTTTTCTCATGGGAGAGACTCCATCTGAGTTTCTAATTAAATAACTTTTGTATAGTTCTTTTTCTTTCCTGTACAAAAGGTCTTTTTTCCCCCTCCATTCTCGCCCTTCTTCTTTCTTTGTTGATACTATTTACTCTCAAGCCTGCTTCTGAACTCTGTCTAATTAGCTCTTGATAGATCTGCTGCCCTGTTTCCACAAACATTTAATTCTGCAGTCAGTCCCATTTACATTACAGCATGTTGCATTGTCTTTTACCAGCCTAATTTTGTTTGAGTGAATGTAAATCCCATTAAGCAGTCACCTATTAGACTGTGGCATATAAACTCCAAAAGCCTCTTTATTACAAGAGTGAACATAAGGCCCAATTGATA